GCCTTATGGGGTACTCTGTCACAATAGGGTGACCATATTTCTGTATGCTGAATATGGGACACCTGGTAAAATTGATCAAATTCAAGCGAGTTCAATGGCAATCAATCAGAACTATGCAGTAGTGTCCCCCACCCCAACGTGCTATAACAACTCCAGGGACCAGCGGGGGAAGGAGGGCTTCGGGGGTCCGAGCCGGGGAGTGGGGCCTCCTGGCATAGGCGTAGTATGATTTCTATTTTGGGGGTAGGGGGCAGCGGGGCTCAAGCCAGTTCCATATGGCAGGTCCACGGAGGGAGTGCCACCTCCACCCCCTGATTCACCTCAGCAGGCCACTCAGCCTGTCTTAGTTGTGGCGGGGGGGGAGGTGCAACCAAAAATTATAACTCAAGGCGGGGGGGGGGGGCGCGCATTAGCTCAAAAAGTTTGAAAACAGCTCAAGGCGCAGAAAGAGCAGTAGCTATGGGCTGTGTGCAGGCAGGGGGGTAGCTCAGGGTGCAGAGTAGGAGGTAGCTAGGGGCTGTGTGCAGGCAGGGGGGTAGCTCAGGGTGCAGAGTAGGAGGTAGCTAGGGGCTGTGTGCAGGCAGGGGGGTAGCTCAGGGTGCAGGGTAGGAGGTAGCTAGGGGCTGTGTGTTAGGAGGGCTCCCCTACGGTCCCTGCTCCCTGAGGGCTCTGCCAGCCATGGGGCCAGTCCCCCCACCCCTACAGCTCTTACCAGCTATGTGGGGAAAAAAGGGGGCTGAGAGCTGAGGAGTAGCTTTAACCTGCTGCCCTAGCAGGAGAGGAGGGAACACCACAGCTGCCTGCTCTATGGCACCAGCTTTGCACTGTCCGGCTCCAGCTTCCCGCCTCCAAACTGGCCAGGGGGTGGGGATAGAAGGGGGTGTGGCGCTGCCCCCTGGACTGCCTTGCACTGCCACTGTACTTCAGGGGGCAATATCTCTGCCCCCCAACTCTGCTCAGGGGGCTTCTCCCCATGGGGAGCACCAGGGATCTGGGATCCAGCCCTGCTGCTCCCAGCTTCAGCCCAGGGCTGGGGGGAGCACACTGGGGATCAGGGCTTCAGCCCTGCAGCTCCTGCCTTCAGCCCCTCAGAGGTTGCCAGGACTTGGGCATTCGGCCCCACAGCTCCTGGCTTCAGCTGGGGAAGGAGGATGGTGTCGGAGATCGGGACTTTAGCCCCACATCTCCCAGCTTCAGCCCCACAGAGGGTGCCAGGGATTGGGTTTTCATCCCTGTGCGGGGCACTGGGGCTGAAGCTCTGGGTTTCAGCATAGGGGCCTAGTATCATAGAATATCAGGGTTGGAAGGGACCCCCTGCTCAAAGCAGGACTAATCTCCAGACCGATTTTTACCCCAGTTCCCTAAATGGGCCCCCTCAAGGATTGAACTCACAACCCTGGATTTAGCAGGCCAATGCTCAAACCAATGAGCTATTCCTCCCCCATAGTGGCCTCCCAAAAGGGCTTGCGGACCCCCCCTTGAGAATCCGTGCTTTAGGTTTCACATGGGGAGGGGTGACATACATCCCTACCCACAGGTCTGCCTCTCCTACCTGACTTCGCCTCTTCCCGCCTCTCCACCTGTCCTGAGGCCACCAGGTGCTCTCACAGACTAGTCACCACCTGCCCGCACTCACCCGCCAGCCGCAAACAAGATGCAACTGGGGCTGCACTGACCTACCAGCGGGGGAGCGGAAAATACGGGACAATTTTCCTGTGTGGCTTTTTTGTTTGTTTGTTTGTTTCCTTTTTTTTTAAAGGAGGGACACCTGCAAGAGGGCTTAAATACGGTACTGTCCTGTTAAAAACGGGACAGCTGGTCACATTACAAAGTAAGCAATCTTAACATCAACCAAAGAGAATACTTAAATCAGTTGCTTAGAAGCCATTTAAGGAACTGTCTTGGGACAGGCAAATTAACCAGTATTAGGAATCATAAATCCAATTAAATTCCATTATTCCTCTGCTTGCTTACTTTTCCACGAATACATTACCCAACCACCTGGTGATTAACAGGAGTAACTGTCTTTTTAAAGTTACAACAGAATTTCAAAATTCCAACAGTTATTACAGGAGTTTTAAATCTAATCCATTGGCTGTGTCTTAATTAACTTCCTCTCCCCAATCCATGTTGAAGTCTTGGGTTGGTTTTATCTTTAGTCTTCTGTTTTTCTTGTCTGTGGCAACTTGCTTGTAGAAATGGACAGGATGCGCTGTGAAGTACTTCCTGTTACTGTGCTTAGACAGCATGTGAGTATTGGATGCTCACTTCAGAGTTCCTTTTTTTTTTTTAATACCTTTCTTATTTTAATGAAATTATAGGAAAACACATCTTTCATGCTTGTTTAGATTCAAATTGGTTGCTGTCACTCTGTTTGCTTCGGTGACGCTTTCAGCTCCTGAAAATACTGTCTGTTTAACGAATATGCAACATTTCTTTAATTGCTTCCATTCTTCTTGTGGCAGGAAAGCTTTTTTTTTATCCAGTACACTTTCTGACTTTTTTTTATTATTAGCGTTTGACAGGAAATTCTGTTTTTGAAAGATCCAGAGACTCCTGTTCTTCTGCATGAGTGTTTGGTTTTCAAAACAGTCTTTTAAAATTAAATAACTCTAGAAAGCCTTTAGCCTGAGTTGTTGACTCCACATGATAAGAAAATCATCATTTCAAATTTTGTCATCTTGCATTGGGTGAGGATTTGCTCAGGCACCATCAGTAATTAATTAATTCCCCGTTAATATAAATCCTGCTTACATTAGTAATTAGCCTAGCACCAAATGATTTTTCTATATTTATACATAAAACATCTTACTAGTCATATAACAATATCAGGCAGTTATGTGAAGGCTTGCATTTAGATACAAAAATACTTTCAAATATACACATTAAAAGAAGCTTATGCAATCTTAAGCATTTGAGAACCAACAAAGGTTTTCTCCTTTAAGTGGAAAAATGAGTTGAATGTAATCAGTGTCTTCTATAGATCACTTACCACCATAAATGTTCTCCAAGTTTAAAGAATGAAAAAGACTTTACTGTGTGTATAGAAGAAAACAATTTCAATAAAGATGTTTCTAGAATATCTTGTTGATGGGTTTAAGCTCAAGTTTTACTGGGTGGGTGGCGCGGGAAGGTGGTGGAGGAGGATTTGTTATAGGCCTGTTTTACCTCTGGGTTTATTGTTCTGATAACACAACATTGCATTCTTTTCAGTCAGATTTCTTCCAAGTGTTTGTGGTTTGTAGGCTTGATGTTTGCTTAGTCTAGAGAGATCAAAGTATAAACATTCTGGAATTTCTGATTTTTAGCTTTAAAGTTTTGTAACAATAAGCTAACTATGTATATTGTTATATTTCCAAACATCCTGGCTATAACGTTCTTGTAGCTGCATCTTGATATTTAGTGAAGGTGCAAACAAGTTTGTAACAACTTAAAAAAATTAAGTTAAATTTTATTTTTGCATCAATATTAGGTCTTACCCCCACAACTGCCACCAACTTGATAGAAGGGGAACTAAGCTTCTGGATAGCAAACTAGACATAAAGTAGTCATGAGGGCTTTAAATTAGCATCAGAAGGGGAGGGTGTTAAGAGGATAAACACAGGACATCGACTCAAATATAACTCTGGTAACAAATCAAGAGATGTAAAGAGAATAAATTCTCCAGTTGCCTGTACACCAAAGCTAGAAGTCTGGGTGGTAAATAAGAATTAAAAATATTCATTTATGAAAAGAAACTTGATATGGTTGGTATTCTTGACTTGGTGGGGTGATTCATGTGACTGGAATGTTACAGTAGGGTGACTCTAGTGGAAGACGGAGTGGGCTGAAGAGAAGGTGGGGTGACACTCTATGCTAGGGATACCTTTTACCTGCTTTTGAGTTGCTGACATGCCTGATATTGATAGGACCCATAATGCATATAGGTGGATTGGTTGTACTAATTCAGCTGAGAGGATAGGATATGCCTGTCATAAAATATCTATCTGTATTGCATTATCATAAGGAATTTCAATTTGGGGGACTTGATGAGGTCTCATGCTGCCACTAGTAAAACTTCTTGGAGTTTCTAAAAATTATAGATGATACGTTTCTAACACTTGCAATTAACTTGAGTAATTCTATTATGAGACCTCATTCTGTCAGATAAATGTGGACTGAAAACTGGTGGTTGCCTAGGTACAAATGATGCCAATGTAACTTCATTTGCTGCGTGCAGAGTGTAGTCTGAGCCAGTTACATAACACTTTTTCTTTCTTTCTTTTTTTCCCCCCTTCGGTGATTTTTAAAAAGCCAATTTTCCAAAGCTGGAAATAATTATGAGCATAATTCAGTGGGAGGAGATATTGAATGATTGGAAATTAGTTGAGTGCATTATGTCCCCTCACCCATAAACATACTCTTACTAAAAGGGGAGGTGACGACAGCAATCTAAATATAAGTAAACTGAAAAATGGCAAAGCTGATAAACTGCTGATTTATATTCATTGTTAAGTGGAAATATCTTTCTTTCCTTATCAATTTTATCCATCAATAGAAAAACTGTGGCCAGTAGGGTTAAGGACAATAAGGAGTACTTTAAATACATCAGGAACAAACTAAATCCTAGCAATGATATAGGTCCGATACTATAAAAGGATAGTAAAAATATATGTTCTGTATTTGGAAAGCAATAGGATGACGTATTTATAGTTTACAGAGATAATAAAATACTTGCCTTGGCCTGTAACTAAGGAAGATGTTTCAATAGTAATCATTAAAGAGGTAAACACTTATAAAATATGCATGACTGGATAACTTGTGCTGAAGGATATTTAAAAAAAAAATTGGCTCTGGAACTCTCTGAACTGTGGGTGGGTGTGTTTTAAACAAATCTTGGAACACTGGGAGGGCTCCAAAGGAGTGGGGGAGGGGGGAAGCTAACATTGTGCCAGTACAGTATTTAAAAGACCTGAGAAATTAACTATAAGCTAGCTTTCATGACCCACATTCTAGGCAAAACCATGGAAAAGCTGATATAGGACACAATTATAGAATCATAGAAATGTAGAGCTGCAAGGGACCTGAGAAGTTCTCTAGTTCTCCCCCCCCACCCCACTGAGCCAGAATTAAGTATAGCTAGGCCATCCCTGGCAGGGTGTTTGTCCGACCTGCTCTTAAAAAAAAAAAAAAAAGTGTGACTGGGATTCTGCAGCCTCCCTAGGTTCTTACAATCCTTATAGTTAGAAATTAGAGAATAAAACTATACAACCTAAATTTTCCATTGTGTAAACTAAGTAGATTACTACTTGCCCTACCTTTGCTGGAAGTGGAGAACAATTGGTCACTGTACTCTTGTATACTTGAAGATTGTTATCCGGTCCTAACTCAGTCTTCTCTTTTCTAGCCTGAACATGTCCAATTTTTTTGACATTTCCTTATGTCAGGTTTTCCAAATTTCTTTTGTAGCCCTCTTGTCTCCCTCTAATTTGTTAGTCTGGTGCCTAAAATGGGACACACAACAAGATAGTGAGAATGGATAACAAGATCCAATTGTTAGAAGGTAAAGCTAGACAAACAGAAGTTAGGGGCTTGATGCAAGATTTACTGGATGAGACTCTTTGGCCTATGTTATGCAGCAGGTCAAACTAGATGGTCGTAATGGTAGGGTTACCATATTTCCTCATTTTAAAAAAAGAGGACACTCCACGGGGCCCTGGCCCCGACCCCGGTCCCAACTCCGTCCCCTCCCCTGAGCTCCCGGCATTCCCCCGCCTCCCTCCCAGCCACGCGAAACAGCTGCCCGAGCGCTACCGGCTTCACGGTTTGCCGGGCAGCCCCCAGACCTCCAGACCCTGCCTCCAGCCGGGCGCCTCCCCAGCGTAGCTGGAGCCCGGAAGGGGAAGTGCCTGGCCGGGGGCGCAGGGTCTGGGGGCTGCCCGGCAAACCGTGAAGCTGGTAGCACTCGGGCAGCTCGGCTCTTCAGCTACACAGAGCTGAGGTGTCTGGGGGGAGCAGCAGCAGCCGCCGTGGGGGAATCCGCCTGCAGCTCGCAGCCTGCGGGAGCCGCAAGGTAAGCAGGGGACTGGGGCAGGGATGCCAGCAAAGCTATTTTCCTGGACATGTTCGGCTTTTTGGCAATTCCCCCCCAGATGGGGTTTTGAGGACCAAAAAGCCGGACATGTCCGGGAAAAAACAGACGTATGGTCACCCTACCTAACTGCCCCCCAGGACTCCACCCCCTACCTAAGCCTCCCTGCTCCTTGTCCCCTAACTGCCCCAACCCTTATCCACACCCCCACCCCGAGATGGACACCAGGGACTCCTACACCCCATCCAACCACTCCCCACCCCCTGACAGCCCCCCC